ATCTTAATCAAACTAACATCTCCAATTGTTCGCTGATGAAGTGTTTACTGGCGTGAGGCGGGGCAATCTGTCACTCACATGACGTCACTCACAGCAATATAATAGGCTTGTTTGAGATGCGCCTTGCCTCGCCTAAAATGTATGCGAGAGTAGGCGGCTGCAGAGGGAGGAGTGAAAAAAGTGCAGGCAAGAATTTAAGTTCTGTTGCTTTTATATGAAAATAAATATAATGAACAAGACAGCCAAAGTAGGCTACTTGTTATTTAATTACATTCCAAATACGTGTTTATCAATACTTTTTTCTTTATTACAGACATGTGTTTTTATAGTGTTTTAATAAAAATGACATTACATAACCCATATCGCATTGTCAGAGAGTTTATTCACACATAACATACGTGAGCTATACACATAAAACATGATATCAGAGTTTTAAAATCAAACATTTTAAAAGAGAACAATACATCATGGTTGTTTAAACCAATGAGCATTAAGCTGTGTCGTCAGCAAGTCGTTTCCCATCATGCTTTTGATCAGCGCAGTCGGTGGAGAGGTGGAGAGCAACCCTGACTTGCGAGAGTTTTTTTTACATACGTCAGCATGACATCAGAGCAAGGCAGACCGCACTCGGACACATTTCTAACCGGCGGCATGCATCTCGCGATCACCGGTGATCGGTTCTGCGCAGATTTTGCTCATTTCAAACAAGCCTAGCAAATCACATAATCCAATCAATTACCCATGGACATCAAATCAAGTCCCGCCCCAGATCTATGAAGGTATTTTTGGTGCAAAACAACTGAACGCCTGTGACAGTGGAATTTGTAGTTGTAGAGAATAGCCACACATGTGTATCAGTAAATGTGAAGTCACAGAGATAAATTTTTTAAGAGTTGCACACTTGTAGACTTTTTTTTATCTTCCACAAACACAACACAACAGTTACACCTTCTCAAATTCTTCATTGCAGGCGCACAAATCCTATTCTACAAATCACAAATTAAGAAACTCGTACGCTCACATTTTTGCTACAGTTGCTGCAGTGAATATGGGGCAAAACGCATTTACACACCCGCATCAAAAAATGTGAAGTCACAGAGAACTTTTGCTCATCTGCAAATCAATATGTGAATTCATCCAATGAGAGTTGCACACTTGTAGAATCTTTTCTCACAAAGGTCTTGTATATTTTTCTAGCACAAACACAAGTACATAACTACAGCTGCTTGAATCTGCTGCGACGAATCACAAGCTCTGTTTTTCACTTTCAAGTGACAAGTTTCGTACGCTCCGCCTTTTGCACCAAGTGCACCGTGAAATGTGGTGCAAAAGTGAGTTGTGCATCTGTAGAGGCAGTGGGCGGAGCCTACATTAATATCAATGAGTTTCCCGGGCATGCGCGTGCAACTGCTCATTTTAGTTCACGCGCCTCGTTTCTCAGCAGGTTTAATGGATTATTTCAAAAAAGGTAAATATAGTTTCAGCGCGAACTTAAACTGCAATTGTGTATCGTTTCGTTAAGTTCATGTTTTTATTTATTCGTCACTGACTGAATGATTGCTGGCATTCACTTCGTGTAGGCATAAAGTAGGCTACAGCAAACTTCAACTCGTCGTATAAATTGCACCTTGCGAAGCTTTTAAAATGGGGCTTTTACTAATTGTTATCATTTGTTGATTGCAATAATTTAAATAAACCCTCATAAATGTATCCGTTCCGTTGGCTAACACTTTAAAATATATATATAGCTATAATATATCCTGGTGTGATTGTTCTTAAAATCTTGTTCATTTAAATAAGCCAAATCATTAAGACCAAACACAAGCATAAATGTGTTGCTTTAATACATATGTACAATTTGGATTAAACAAAATTGTATGGACAAAAGTGGATAAATTACATTTGATACAATTAGGTTACTGTAAATGAGGGGGAAAAACACAACATTATTTTACGGAATATGATAAGCCACTAATTTGATGTTCTAAAAAATATATTTACAAACATACATACTGGCCTTAATACCAAACATTTGAACAGTAGTAGGCTACACACCTTGCAATCAAAACATTCAAATTATGCATAATTTGAATGTTTTAATTGCAACGTGTGTAGCCTAATACTGTTCAAATGTTTGGTATTAAGGGTCTAAGGTAAGCTACCTCTAAGGTACATTTATCTAAAAACAGTAATATTGTGAAATATTTGTATCAACTGTTTTCTATTTTAATGTTTAAAAAATATATTATGTCTTAATTTAATATTAGTATTATTTTTGTATTGCAGTAACATTCAACAAATGATAACAAAAGGCAGTTTAAAGCATTGCAATGTGCAAAGGAAAAGCACATCTAAATGAATGAGTTGAAGTTTGCTGTGCTTAGCCTATACTGTGAATGCCAGCAATCATTTAGTCATTAATTAATGCACAAAACGTGCAAACTAATAAAAACATTATGAATGAAATGATACACAATTGTAGTTTAATTTTGCGCTGAAACTATATTTACCTTTTTTGAAGTAATCCATTAAACCTGCTGAGAAACGAGGAGCGTGAACTAGAATGAGCAGTTCCACGCGCATGCCCTCATTTTCCGTAAAATAATGTTGTGTTTTTCCCCCCTCATTTACAGTAACCTAATTGTATCAAATGTAATTTATCCACTTTTGTCCATACAATTTTGTTTAATCCAAATTGTACATATGTATTAAAGCAACACATTTATGCTTGTGTTTGGTCTTAATGATTTGGCTTATTTAAATGAACAAGATTTTAAGAACAATCACACCAGGATATATTATAGCTATATATTTTTTTTAAAGTGTTAGCTAACGGAACGGATACATTTATGAGGGTTTATTTAATTTATTGCAATCAACAAATTATAACAATTAGTAGGCCTAAAAGCCACATTTTAAAAGCTTCGCAAGGTGCAATTTATACGACGAGTTGAAGTTTGCTGTAGCCTACTTTATGCCTACACGAAGTGAATGCCAGCAATCATTCAGTCAGTGACGAATAAATAAAAACATGAACTTAACGAAACGATACACAATTGCAGTTTAAGTTCGCGCTGAAACTATATTTACCTTTTTTGAAATAATCCATTAAACCTGCTGAGAAACGAGGCGCGTGAACTAAAATGAGCAGTTGCACGCGCATGCCCGGGAAACTCATTGATATTAATGTAGGCTCCGCCCACTGCCTCTACAGATGCACAACTCACTTTTGCACCACATTTCACGGTGCACTTGGTGCAAAAGGCGGAGCGTACGAAACTTGTCACTTGAAAGTGAAAAACAGAGCTTGTGATTCGTCGCAGCAGATTCAAGCAGCTGTAGTTATGTACTTGTGTTTGTGCTAGAAAAATATACAAGACCTTTGTGAGAAAAGATTCTACAAGTGTGCAACTCTCATTGGATGAATTCACATACTGATTTGCAGATGAGCAAAAGTTCTCTGTGACTTCACATTTTTTGATGCGGGTGTGTAAATGCGTTTTGCCCCATATTCACTGCAGCAACTGTAGCAAAAATGTGAGCGTACGAGTTTCTTAATTTGTGATTTGTAGAATAGGATTTGTGCGCCTGCAATGAAGAATTTGAGAAGGTGTAACTGTTGTGTTGTGTTTGTGGAAGATAAAAAAAAGTCTACAAGTGTGCAACTCTTAAAAAATTTATCTCTGTGACTTCACATTTACTGATACACATGTGTGGCTATTCTCTACAACTACAAATTCCACTGTCACAGGCGTTCAGTTGTTTTGCACCAAAAATACTTTCATACAGATCCCCCTGCTAAACCAGTTCCTTGTGTTTCGACAGCCAAAGAATCGGTTCTCGGCCAGGAAAATTGGTTCCAAAGCGGCACCAACTCTTTGTTGGACTAGAACCGTGCTTTTACCACGTCATGCTTACGTCGGGGGCTGGGGGCGGGGTTATTGTGACCAACAACACAACGGGGATGGGAAAGCTCGTATGGCGACGTACACAGTGACGTAACGACGTCGTTCGCTGGGCTGAACAGTGGAAAGTCAGTGGAAAAACAAGTTGCAAGTTGAACTAGCACCGGTTCGAAACCAGTTCTTTTTGGGTGGAAACGAGGTATGCGTGTAATATAGAATTATATACACAGACAAATCAATATATTTACATATTTAATTGCCCATATTCTAATTGAAGATATGTCATAATAGCAACACTATGAATTCAAATTGAATGATTTCACTCAATTAGCCTGTAGGTTAATTTAGAAATTATCTTTTTTTTAAACAAATCTAAAAACATTGATTTTTCCACAAATCCCTCATTAACAAACAGAAAAAAACCTTATTTTAAACATTGGCCTACAATGTCATAATCACTATTTTCCAGATGAAATTAGATCAATTCATCTTAAAACTGTTTTGGACGACTAAGTAAGGTAACCTGGGACACTTTTTGCAATTCTGAATTTTTGTTGCATATTTCACACATGAATCCAAAATAATATATCAACACCTTCTATCATTATGAAATCTCCAATATGTTCTCTTATAAAATCAGACAGTTTTCATATTGTACTCTAGGTAAAATGTCACCTATATTTGAATAAAATTTTGCTGTAAAGCAGCTCTAAAAAGAAGTGTCATTGTTCAGCCGAAGTCATTTCATTCAGTTCAATTCAATTACTGTCTACAATTAATCAATTATGAAATGAGTTCAGTTCAGCTCTGTATAAAACAGTGATGCCATTATTTAACTGTAGGGTAGATTGTAGTAGACTGAAAAATCACTAACACTATAAAGCATTATTACCTACATTTTTCACATCGTAAGCCTCAGCAATATACACATTTCAAACCCCACAGTACATGTACAAACTACAAATGACAAGTTTGACTTAATTATATACGTTTTACTTAGGCTAAATATTTACAAATAATGTAATTAGTAATTATTGAAGATAATGGGCCCATAAGTCGTGCTGCACTGACAAATTATTCAGAAAAGAAACTCACCTTAAATCCACACGGAAAATGATTTCCTTTCGAGTCCGGACTCTGTAACTGAGGCAATAATGGCTGCTCAACCAGTTTAACACAGGGGGACATGATAGTGGTTCTCTGAACTCACCCAACAAGTATAGGCAGTGAATGCAGTGGGTCATCCAGTTTTCTTTTCTTTTTAGCTCGGGGTTGGCCAGGCAGAAGCCAGAAAGCAGTATACCAGAAATGTTCATCATTGTTTCAATATAAAAAAAGAGTTTGGCTATAAAGTACTGGACTGTTTTAGTGCCTACAACACAAGACTACTGGGTGAATCTGACCATTTTTGTCAGTTCTTCAACAATTCGCGGGGTCTTTTGAAAACGTGCAAATGAAAATTGAATGTTTACTATACTACTTGCAAAATAAATTAATTGCTACAGTTCTATCATAACGAATCGAACTGAACCAGTACGAAGGGGGGAAAAAATGTGTTTTCGTTCATGTCCAAGAGTGTAAATAAGGGCAGCAGTTGGCAGCACATACTATAATGTAAAATATTAATAATTTCATGCACATTTAAATGTGATTCATTTCGAATAGGCTACAAATAAAATGTACGTAGCGTGTAGGCCTACATTAAATAAAAATTACAAAGTACATAAATTCGTCTTATGATCTCAAATTACAGCATATTTACACATTTTTAGACATGCTCTTAAATATGACACATAGCCTATATAACAACATGCATGCAAAGTGTTTAATCATCTTTAATCATGTTGTATTAACCCAACTGTCCCACTATCTCGTGCCTGGTTCATCTACTGAAGCTCGTGCCAATAAGGCGAATTTGGTGTGCGCGCCTTAAAAATATCCAGTAAGACGGTTCTACGTCTAAATAAACTTAGTTCTGGTCGAGAAAAAAAAAGAGAAAGAAACGGCATTTGTGAATGGGGTGGGCATGTGTGCCTCACACAACAAATGACCACCAGCAAAACTGTAATTTGGTAAAATTGTAATTGTAAAAAAATATAATTTCCCAGCACTAAATAATGTACACAACATTTATGCCTATAAACACCAGAATACATTCCTCATCCTAACTTCCTGTCAACCCATTTGCACTTTGTAAATGTCTTTTCCATCTTCTCTGGTGAGTCAAACTTACACAAAATGTTGTTTGAGATGACTAAAGAACCAGAATCTCTTTTTATTCAAATGACTGAGAATCCACAGCAGAAATTCAGGTTTGACTGCAAATACCACTGCTTCACCCTTTTGTAACTCTTGCATTGCTTTAAACTTGACCGCAATGTTTTATTCTCCATAATTCAATGCATTACGAGTGAGCGAGCTGCCTGTGACAAGATGGCCGCCAGGTGCGGACGTCGACCTCCATTGGCCAGCAGCGCGGATGAGACATCTAGCCTTTATTATGGATATCTATGACTGAATCAGCCATAGACAGTAAAAGAAATGGACACAGCGACCCCATAGACTTCAACGGAGAAAAGTGAAGTCAATTAGAAGCACTCACTTCCTGATGGCTGAGCGTACTGCTCAGGCTCAAACTGAGCTTGATGACTTAGATGTGACGTGAGCAACCTGTCTGACTGCTGTAAGTCTTCTAGTAGCTGTGCCAAGAGGAATCTGAATCATTCCCTTACGAATCTTGCAGAGCCGGAGAGCGTGAGTAGGAGCTGTCCATGAGCTAGCAGCAGGAGCAACTTTATGACTCTCTATGGGCTTCTCCCTTGACTTTATGCCTCCACGTCCCACCGATTGCGCGCGAGCTTCTCCTTCTGTCTATACGGTAATTTCTCTACTGTGCGACAAGAGTCGTGAGTTATGACGCAATCGTTAGCCTATTTTTGCAAAAACTGCTTCTACGGGGCCATAACGTAACATACAAGGTAATGGAGCCTTTTATACATTGTCGTGTTTCTTTAGAAATAAACAATGGAAAAATAGAGTCTTTAAACACCTCAGGTGTAAAGTTGTCAAAGTGACGCCAAAATGAATGGGAGTCAATGGAATGCTAACAGCAGGTGAAGGCTTGCTAGCCAATGGCGGCCCCCAGGGAGACTTGGTGGATTACCCCCTTGGGAATTAGCCAATAGTGAGCCTGCAATGGGGGAAGTCACAGCAGCATGACACCAATCATTTCATTTAATTAGAATAAAAATAATTTAACTAAGACACTAACTTTAATATTTACTTCTTTTTTTTCAATTGTTTTGCATTGTGCAAAATTATCATAAATTAGTATTGATGCTGTGGAATCCTTTTCCAATGATATATATCTCCTCATTTACAGTTGAAGCAATGATGCGAACATGAGATCCATCAATTGCTCTAACAACTCCAGGGAAGCCTGAAATCCTCATAAAAGTGGCTTAATTTTGCTGCAAGATTTGAAGATCAGTTGGAACGTCAACGAACTGCCATACAGTAGTGGCTAAAAGTGATGTCCGGCAAAGATCAATTTAAATATTCATCCTTTATTCAAATAGTATTAAAAATGTGTTAAAGATTTTGTAAGCACATTTGCTTAGTTGTGCTTAGAATAAGTTGTTTATTTGTGATAACACAATGAAACATGCCAAATTGTACAGACATAATTTTTACCCAGGCTGTCATACAAAGAAATAATAAACGCATGAAAAAACAAGAGAGGACAGTAAAATATTATTAATTGACTATGTTGCAGTCAATGTATGAATTTTTGTCATATAATATTTGTCACTTGTAAAACAATATTATTGATCTGCCTGCATTGACACCATTGTCTGAGAACTGAACTGAGCTGGACGATGACATTTCTGGTTTTCTCCTGAGCGGTGTTCTCCAGACTTGAAATAATTTTGTCAGACAAATACCTTCACTAAGTTTAGTGTTTTGTTTTCCCTCATATTTTAAATATATAAATATCAAAATATTTTCCTCATAATTTGATGGTTTAAGCAAACTTGAAGGGTAATTAAAAAAAAAAAAAAAAAACTCTGCACATCACTTTTGGCCACTACTGTACATTTGGTGTGGTCAGTCAGTGCCATATAGTGCTATTTAATTTAAGGCCCTGCTTACTGTGGACTGATGAGCCCAAGTCATCACCGGTGCACTGCTGCATTTTTCCAGTCGCCAAAAATGAAATTATTACAGTTAGAGCATTTATTTGTAGAGTGGGAGAGGCTATTCAACTTCTTAAAGATAAGATACAAAAACAATACCTTGAATGATCAAACTTTTATCGTTTGATCAACTCCATCATCATTTAACTCAATACATTATATTTTCGTTGAAAAGTGTGCTGCCTCCTCCTCTCTGCTGTCATCTTGTTACTCCTAACTAGGTTAGGATACCTCTCCAGCACTCTTAAATAATTTAGGAGCTGATACCTAGTCTTAACCTTTATGAATCACACTTATTTTTAAGTTTAGTAATAAGAGTAAAATTATGTCATTCTTGGAAAACTAAAATTTTACTCTGAGTGGCTTTCTACATATGGCCCCAGATTTTGATACTTTTCTTCACAGTAAGTTTTTTTTATTTTTTAAAGAAAGTGATGGGGGGCCAGGAGTAGATGATCAGTTTCAAAACTCCTTTTGTGCTCAAGAAAAGATGTCTTATGGGTTTGGGAAGACATTCGATTTGTTCCTTTAAGCTACTCAACCAATACTCCAAGAAAATGTGAAGATATGTCATATGTGAAGATGCAGTGACCTCGCAGGGCATGGGAGGAGTATGGTTTTATGACCCTTGGGGTTGCTGAAGGGGTTTCACTTCTGTTGCGGTGTGAGAGCAGAAAGAGTCAGGAAGGCACTTGGCGTACCCCACCAGCTCGTAAGACTCACGGATGTCTGTAAGGCCAAGCCAGAATACAATCCAGTGACCATTTACAAAACTGCCATCACAGTGCTTGAAATACCTGAGGATTTGAAAGCAGAATGAGAGATGAATGATGGATGGGCAAAAAATGGGAATCACAACAATGCAATGCTGAGGACGGGACACACCAGGGATTGATGCGGTTAGTGGCGCGGGATCTCCAGAAGAGCTTGCCCAAGTCCTGACGAATACACTCCCACAAGATCTGGCCAGTTCCTTGACCTTGTTTACTGCTGCTGACCACAAATTTGTCCAGGTACGGAGTGCCGCTGTTCACAGGCTCTGTGGTGATTATAGCAGCCGCACTGTACCTGCAATAAAATGCATACAGGCACAGATTCAGTAAGCTTATATTCTAATCTAGAAGCATAAAACTATGAGCATGATTTACCACAAAGGTGAAACATCATTTAAAAATGTCATGTAAAGAAGTGAGAGGGGTAAGGTATGTCAGTGAGCAAGCTGTGTTAAACCCTTAACTCTTTCCCTGCCATTGATGGAATTTTCAGGCAATCCGTGTTTTTAGTGTTATACGGTAGGGGGCGCTGTTAGACATCTTCTGAAAGAGTACAGAATCTCCAGATCAAAACACAGCCGAAGAAGCAGCAGAAACAAGCAATAGAAGCATTGCTTATGCACATGTAAAATAACGCGATCATCAAAAATTACACAGCATATAAATCAAAACTGCCTAATGTTACCGAATGAAATGTCGACCCATGAAGAGGTACAGGACTACGCATGTTTTGGGGGTGTTGATGGACGCGTTCTACTCCATCTATGTTTTGATCATCTGTCATGGTGTTGTGCCGAATTCTTACCCCACCAGATTATTACCTCCCTAAATCCCCAGTATGGGTAGGTTTAGGATTAGGCGGCCTCAACAAAGTGGGTAATAATTTGGCAGGGAGTCAAAATTCACACAACACCGGACGTAGTCTTTGACTAAAATACTATTACTAATGCTATTACTACTACGAATACTACTACCACATGTTAAAAAATAAAATAAAATAAATATTAAACCTGGTCCTGGCTTAATTATGAAAATATTAAGTTTTCTATTGACTTTTTTTTTCATTTCCCAACGATTCAACTTTCCCTTTACATGGAGCAAACTGTGACACAGGATCATTTTCTTTCATATTTCTTTGGCCATACAGCATGTTGTAAGACATTTTCCTTGAGGCTTGATGTGTAGAAACAACTTGTTCATACCCTTCAGACAGGTAAATAGAATGCAGTCTGCCCTTGAGAGATGCTATGTAATCCTCTCTCAGGTTCCTCTCGAAAGACATGTTTATCAGTGCCAAGAGACGGCCAATGTCAATGTCATCTAGGCTGTTGTATCTGTGAAGAGTAAAGATACTCACATGACATATACTGGTAAATGAACGATTAAGTTCAATCCCGTATGCTGATATTTGTTCCGTTGAACACCAAAAGAGACATTTCAAAGAATATTTTACTCAGATCTTTCCCATACAACTATAGTTTATTTTGAGCCTAATGACGTCTTCTGGATTATTACAAAAGCTTTTCTGTGAGGAACAGACCAGAAAAAAAACTGTCATTCACTGCTAATCTTTGTCAGGTTTGTCGTCATTCATATCAGATGACACACAGTGTGAACAATCTTAAATATTTGTCTCTAATAACCGCCTATGGTCTAATTATACAGTACTTCCGACTGAGATATCCAGCCTGACACTTGTGTTTATTCTTGATTATTTAATGACAGCCTAAAACTCTAACCAAGCTGATTGTGAAATATGGAAACCGTGATTGTACACACATAGCAGCAAACAGCACTGTAAAATGTTCCATATGGTGGATAGATAGAACATTTGGGCATAAAATATCTTAAAAGGTAAAGACTAAAAGAAAAAAACTGCAAAAATCACATACCTGTGGATGGGATCTCCATTTTTAAACAGGGTGCCTGAGCCTGAAAGACGGATACAACAATACAGACATGTTTCCTTACATGGGTTTAAGAAATACAAACAGTTGAAACACTTTGCTCTTTTTTACTGGTCCAAGAAAATCTGTTATCATTAATCAAACTCTTAGTCTTAACCAATATTAGTAAACCTTGTAAAATCCACCGCATTCAGCAGCTGCAAGGTGCCGTAGTACTACTGAGCAAAGTTTGTGACTTTGTCATAGCATTGGATGGATGGATTTCATGCAATATGCTATGACAAAGCCACAAACTTTGCTCAGGCATTCAGAACAACTAAAACAGCATTTCAGATCGGTTCCCAGGTTTAGTTCAGATCAGTTCTCTGGTTAGTCCAGTTATGCCGTCCCATCGCGCAAAGTCACATTATTTTTTTGATGCGTATCGAGTAATTTATTCGGTAGCCTAAATTTGTGTCCATCGTAGTTTATGCGCATGCTTATCGGATAATAAATGCATCCGACTCAAAAGAGCGCATTTTTAGAAATGTAGGCGCATCTTGGCGTTTCCATCCAGCAGTTTTTTTATGCGATATCCCAAAATGCGCATTAAAATAGGTGGATGGAAAATTTTAACAAAACAAACCCTCGTCGCCAGTTTCGGCTAGTGAGCTGTCTCGGAGTCATATGTCCTTTGACATTAATGAGAGAAAAAGAGTAGATATAAGTGTCATTTGTCTCGGTAAGTGTGTGTTTTCTCTCTTATCTCACCTTTATGGCTGAAGAGCTCAGTGAGAAGCGTGCCAGCTGAGGTGAGTACGGCCGAGCTGTCAGCTGGCAGCAGGTTGAGCAGCTGTACAATGGTACTGATGCGTCTTTTCTCCACTTCACTCAGCCATTTCGCACAACTCAGGCCTGGCAAATCTCCTGGCAGTGACACTAAACCCAACACCTAAAAAATAAAAACAGACCATGATTTTAATTAGAAACACCATGATTTCAAATGTGTATTCATTATGTGCGCATTTATATTTGAGAAAAAGAATAATTAAATAGAATCAAAAATAGAGAAGGCATTAACTGGTGCATAGGCCTACCACCCAGAAACGTAGAAATTGTAACACTGTCACCTTGTGTTCACTTTACGCTATGAGGCAACAATCATTTCTTGAACACATTTCTGCCGTTAAACCACTCTATTGAAATTTATAGCTAGACATTTAGTTTATGACAGTTTTATAAACTATATATTGTGAGTTGGCTGCAAAGCAAACCTGTTTACAATGCTATGACAATTTTAAAATTTAGGCTATATGTGTAATGAGATACAAAATTGGTTAGAGAATAGGCTTCAAATATTATTTTATAGTTTTAGAACGATACATAGCATATTATATAAGAGAAATAATAATAAAAAAAGATATATAAATACAGTGCTGGTCAGAATTATTTGCCCCCTTGGTAAATGTGATCACAGATGGCTGTAAAAAATCAAATTGCATTGTTTATCCTTTTGACATTTTATTTAAAAAAAGTAGCAAAAAAAGTAGCAAAAAAAGGGGGGGGGGGAGGTTCTCCAAAACACGTTGGAAACAATTATTTGCCCCATTTTATTAAATACTTTTTTGCGACCTCCTTTTTCCAAGATAACAGCTATACATGCCTGATGAGTTTGGACGGGCCTAATTTTCTGCCAGAGGTCCTGGACATCTTGTTCAGATACATGGCATCATGGATTCGATTAAATACCAACAGATAAAAAATCTAAACCTGACAGCCTGTGCTAGAAATTTATAACGGTCCATGTTTGGATCTTCCAACAACAAACATCAAAATCAAAACAAAAATGGGTCACTGAGCACAAAACCAAGCATCTGCAATGGCCATCCCAGTCCCTGACCTGAACCCTATAGAAAATGAGTGGGCTGAACTGAAGAGAAGAAGCGCCAACATGGAATCTGTGAATCTGAAGGATCTAGAGAGATTCTGTATGGAGGAATGGTCTATGATCTCCTGTCAGGTGTTCTCCAAACTCATCAGGCATTATAGGAGAAGACTCAGAGCTGGTATCTTGGAAAAAGGAGGATGCAAAAAGTATTTAATAAAAGGGGGCAAATAATTGTTCCCAATGTGTTTTGGAGAAAAACATTTATTTCATAATAATAATGTGATTTTGATATTTTATTTTTAAAAAATGCAAAAATCTAATATTTTATTGAAGTAAAAGAATTGAAAGTGGGGGGCACTTTCAATTCTTTTACTTCAATAAAATATTAGATTTTTGCATTTTTTTAAAATAAAATATCAAAAGGATAAACAATGCAGATTTATTTTTTACAGCCATCTTTAATCATATTTACCAAGGGGGCAAATAATTCTGACCAGCACTGTACATATTACTTGTATATGTACTGCCCATCAAAAAAAAAAAAAAAAAGTCACTGTTTGGATTTAAATAGGCAAATGTCTATGACCTGGTCATTATTGCAGTGATTATAATGGTCTAGCATGTTATATGTTTGGCAACGGTTCTTCTAACTCTAATTGATGAAGTGTGTAGCTTTACATTTCTTAAACAACCATGTAGGAAGACACATCATGTCCATATTCCAGGAAGACAATGTCAATATTCATCAGGCTCAAACTGTGAAAGAATGGTTGGGAGGAAGCATGAAGAATCATTTTCACACATGAATTGGCACCTCTGAGTCCAGACCTTTATTTCAGTGAAAGTCTTGGGATGTGCTGGAGGAGACTTTACAGAGTGCTGGACTCTTGCATTGTCAAGAAAAGACCTTGACCAAAAATTGATGCACTTCTTGATAGAAATAAATGTTGTGATGTTGTGGCCATGAACTGTCTTCCTATTTGGTTATATAAGAAATGTAAAGCTACACACTTCATCAATTAGAGTTAGAAGAACTGTTGCCAGACATATACCATGCTAGAAACATAATAATCACTGCAATAATGATCCAATCATAGACTCTTAAGTATTTGCCTATATAAATCTAAACAGCGATAATGTTGAAAACATTATAACGTTTTCATATTTACAGAGGAAAAATACATATTTTTTATCTTTCACAACAAACATTTTTCCTCTGTACATATGAAAAAGTTATCATATATATATATATATATATATATATATATACACACACACACACACACACACACTGCCTGGCCAAAAAAAAGTATATATATATATATATATATATATAATGTATGTTCAGCAAAAAAAAAGAAAGAAAACTAAACATCCTCTAACTTTCAACTGCTTTTTCCCCCAGCAAATTTCTTAGATATAAAAAAAATATTTCTAATAATTCTCTTACATAAAAAGATTCAACTATTGAAACATAAACTGAACAAATTTTACTGACATTTGACGAACAGAAATGGAATAATGAGTCCGTGAACAAAGGGAGGTTCAATATCAAACGTTTTCCAAAGCAAAAACGCGAGACGGGGGCAGTGGAACGGGGGGAAAACGCAAGGTCTCAAGACGTGTTTTTTAAAAGTTAAACTGATTTTAACAGCGTTTTTAGAACATCTAAGACAGTGCTACAGGGAGACTTGGTGGAAGAATAAAGTAACATCTCACAGCATTAATCTGCTGCCGTCCATGAAGATGAGATGCACTATAGGACTTAAAGCAGCTGTTGGAAACCAGATTCTGACTGCTACTTTTGATATTGTTCACGCACTCATTATTCCATTTCTGTTCGTCAAGTGTCAGTAAAATTGGTTCAGTTTATGTTTGTTCTGTGTGAAAGTACCCCAAGGCATGTTCATGTAGGTGATCAGGGACCCTGAGCCTCTTTCTCCTGGTGTTTTTCAGAGTCAGTAGAGAGGTTTTCTTTACTGTCCTGAGTTAATGGAACTGTGATACCTCCTGTAAACTGTTATTAGGACTGTTCCATAGGTGCATGTGCAAAAAATGTTTATGGTTCATTGAATAAGCATGACAAACATTGCTTAAAAACTTTAAAATAAAGATCTGTAAAGCTTATTGGGAGTGTACAAAGTAATCTTTAAAATACGGTATCCTGAAAAAGGGACAATTTAAGGTTTAGCTGTGCAGGTAAACCTTACTCCCCTGGCCTCAATACACAAACACACATACACAAATGCCTCCATTAATAAAATTAAGTAATACAATGATTTCTTGTTAGTCAGATTCACATATTACTATACTGTACCTTGTGGTTTTGGTTACGGAGGCCCCCTGAGCTGTTCAGGAATATGACTTTCTGAGGCTGCAGTGACAGCGAGACGGCTGCCGTCACCTGGATCGAGTTGAGAACAGAAGAACGACCACCTGCATCGCGGCCCACTGGACAGACCAGCGGAATGACTCTACAGTCCAGAGTCCACTGCAGAAGAGCTGAGTCCACAACAACTGAGGGACCACTGCTGATAGAGGACACAGAGACAAAGTGTTTGTGTGTGTGTGAGAGAGAGAGAGAGAGAGAGAGAGAGAGAGAGAGAGAGAGAGAGAGAGAGAGAGAGAGAGAGAGAGAGAGAGAGAGAGAGAGAGAGAGGAGACTCTGATGTGTACTAGAAGGAGTCCATTATGACACCACGGCCCATTTACACAAAGGACGATAACAATATAGGCCTAGTTTAAAAAAAATCATTCTAAATGTGAAAGAATAGCATGAATAGAGTCCCCATCACAACTATAACAATAACGGCAATGTTGTTGGAATCACTATTAGAAATGTTTTTTTTTTCTCCAGCTGATAAACAATAAAAACATTGACATCCATTCAGAATCCACCCGACTAAAGCAACCAGCGCAAGCATTTAAAGAGGCAGTGACAAAACTGCAGTGCGCGTTTATAATAAACAATGTTATTGTGCGTTGGTGTGGACGTTAATTAAGTTATCATTTATAGTTATTGCTCTTGGTGTTGAACGGGCCTTAAAGTGGTTTCTAAACCTGCTCTCATCCTGAGGGTCCCGCAGTTGTAAGAGGGCCTCTGAACTAAAGAAGGGCATCACATTGGCTGAGTTGTGCTGAAGTGCTACTGTTAAAGCCTGGCAATGTTTCACCATCACAGTCCTGGCGAGGGAGGAATTAGTCCCAGTTTTGTCACTGTCCTCTTCTTCCATCTCGGGAGGCAATCCTATCACCACCACGAGCTTCATATCCATTCGCTGCAGGAAGGAGAGTCCAAAAGCCAGGCTCTGAACCATCTCACGGCTATCAAACACTGACGTGTCAACCTGAGGAGGACAACACAGAAATCAGCTTCAGATGTCTATTTTAAATGTCATGACCCCAAGGAACAACTGCGTGTTTTAGCTGCCATTAAGGTTTTTACAAAATAACTACAAACACAACAAACATAACTGTTATGTATCATTTAGACTACTAAGTTGGAAAGAGTCTGCTTCTATGAAGAGCTCAGATATATGCAGCGTATTGCATCCTACCTAAGGTTAATTTAGTTTGACCAGTGATCCTGAAACAGAAAAGGGCTTCAATTGTCTGCAGAGTCAACAAACCAACAGAAAGGATATGTACACTCGTGCACAATTTGTGCAGCAGCATAGATGACAAGTCGGTAGAGTCTTCACATAAAATGTTCAAGTTTGGCTTCTGATTAAACCCGGTTAAATATGCCACTTGAGACTATTTAACAATATATTTATATGATTTTTTTTTAAATAACTGATTAATAATAATACAGGCCTATATGTAGCTATAAATACTTAATATATACTTAAAGTTTATACAATTATAATAAAAATGACTAAAGGTGGACAAAGTACACAACTTCCTTACTTGAGTGAAAGTACAGATACTACTGGTCAAATATTACTCCGTTACAAGTAAAAGTTGTAAAGACCGATTTTTACTTGAGTAAACGTACAGAAGTACTCGTTTTTAAAAGTACTTAAGTATCAAAAGTAAATGTCAATGCATTGTTTTATTATTTTTTGCATTGTTGTATGTAATACTTACAGTACCTTATGCCTCTGATGCGACCTAGTGAATACACCTACCAGTTAGTAGTGTCTGTGGAATTAAGAGCTTTAAGAATTTTATAAAACCTATAGAAATTAAACAACTGAATCGACAAAAATATAATATATATATAAAATATAATCATCTTTTTTTATTTTATTTTTACACTCCTACCACCCCAACAAAAGAAGTATCTATGTGTATCCATTCATGCACAGTAGTGGTCAAAGTAAAAAGTTTCCAGAAAAAAAATAATACTCAAGTTAAGTACAAATACTCAAGTGTACTTAAGTAAATGTCCTTAACTGTCCACCTCTAAAAATTACCTGCATTGGGATTTTAGCATTAGGCTTATGGTCTTCTCATTGAATTAACTTAAATATTTAAGCACAGATAACTTAATATGCAATTTATATATTGTTGCATTTACTTATGAACAAGCAATAAAATATTAAAACAAGTTATTGCTTCACATAAACAGCTTTATAAAGGTTTGATCCCTTACATTTCATAGCTTAACTTTAAGGGCTAACCACATTTAATCAATTGACAAAATACAATTATAGCTGTTTGAAGAGTTAAAGTATTAATTAGCAGTATAAAAAGTATAGCCTATAGTCTTAAATTGATATTTTATGAGCTATTAAGAGTATTAGGTTGAATATGATTAATTTGAAATGAATTGATAACGTTATATTTAAATATATAAAATCCAAAATGTATTAAATATATAAGCTAATATATTTTCAGTATAAAACAAACATTATTATAATATAATATGAATTGTATTAAAAAGAGCATTAAAAAAACATATATAATATAGTAGGCTAATTCATCAAAAATTGCCTTCATGTATATTCTCACTCTGGTCGCAAGACACGCACCTGCAATACCGCAAACACTGGAGATAAACCGGCCCGCTGAAAGTGTGTTAACCAGTACCGAGCCTCACGTGGATCACCTCCAATTTGATTGAGAAAAGCCTTGACATCTCTGTAGATCAGCGTGCGGTTGGACCAGAGGTTGAGCTCGCTCGGGGAGGTGTAGTTGGGGAGCTCCTGTAAGGTGCACGCCGGGGTTTTGCTGCCGTGTCCCGCAGCACTGGCTGACCTCAGGCGCAGGTTCACCGGGACTCTCCGCTGATAATGGCCGCTCCTCTGCTGACTCAGGGCTGACGGTTTCGTCCAAAACTGGTCAGCCATGATGACCATGGCCCTGCAACCGGACGAACCGCTGTTGACTTTGGCCATGAGTTGTGCAGAGGAATCTAATGGCCCCTGAAGCCTTACCTTCAGCTGACCACATCAGGATTTGGATGGGTGAATATGGTCCAGGCGAGGACACGTGGCTGAATCAGCTGTCAGGAGCTCCCGTTGTGTGCAATAGAAAATAAATTATAACTAATTTAATTAAAAGCAGTGCAACATATGCTACGATGCTGAAGTATAAATAAATGTAGGCTACACAATATTTTTTTAAAAAAATGATAGGCTACTCTGTGTTTTAAATTAAAAGAGGGGAGAGGGGAGGGGGTATATAGCATCTATAGGCTATAGGTTATTATAACGACAGCAAGTTATCAAACAAACCAATAAATTGAAATAATGATAATAAGTCTGATACATACATACCGGTATGTAAATCTGGTAAGATCATATAATTTTTGATCTTATCATGAAAGTTTCCTAGAACTGTTGAAGTCCTGAAAACCCTGATTTACATTAAACCCTTTTTAAATGCAGGCACTATAGTATGTAGGCCTATACAAAATGCAAAATATAAACATTTACACACAATCTAAATATCTTTATCCAACGTTATTCACATATCTGTTTTACAGATGACAACTTAGAAATTAATATAGCCTGGAACCTAAAAATTGACTGGTATAATGAATACAAAAATGTAATAAAAAATTATTTTGGTTATAGTCTTATTTTCATTTTCTTATTAACTGAGTTCGGGTGTCCCCTACATAGGACATATAAAATGTAAAAATAATTCCACCATTTTTTCCTTATACTCCAAACAATGTAATGATGTAAAAAATGAAAATCTTTTTTTTTTCTATGGGTCTCTGGAGGATATATCAGACAGAAAGGAGCATAAAGATTCTTAAATTGGCCATAATTATCAAATTCAACTTGAAAAGCTGGTATTTCCCTCAAGAAAGGAATAGGCAATAATCTGATGATGCTGCTGTCAGTGAGCTCCATATGGCGCCAAACACTCACTGACCTGGATTTCTTCACTTTCTCTGTCCACAAAAATCTCCACACAAATCTGTTTAAACCCAGCCTGTGCCACATCAGTGCAACTGAGGATAGGATCGATATTTTGTACTTTTAAAACAGATCGATATACAACCCCATTTCCAGAATAGTTGGGACATTTTGCAAAATGCAAAAAAAATCTGTGATTTGTTAATTCTCTCGAACCTTGAACTGACAAATGTACAAAGAAAATATTTCCAATGTTTTCACTGACCAACTTCATTTTAGTTTGTAAATATAAACAAATTTTGATTTTGATGGCTGCAACACACTCTAAAAAAAGTTGGGACAGAAGCATGTTTACCACTGTGTCACATCACCTTTCCTTTTAATTACACTTTTTAATCATTTGGGAATTTAGGATACCAATTGTTGTAGTTTTGCAAGTGAAATTTTTACACAATCTCGCCTGATAAAAGACATCTGCTCAACAGTCTGTGGTCATCATTGCCTGATTCTCCTTTTCATGATGGGTCATACATTTTTAATAAGAAACAGATCTGGACTGCAGGCAGTCAGGCACATCCCTTCTATGGTGCAAAGTGTCTAGAAACCACTCAGTTTTAGCACGTGCAGAATGAGGCCTGGCATTGTCTTGCTTCCCAGGAAAGATGTAATCTTGATTCCATTAAATGTTTCTGTACAATCCCAATATATGCCTCCATATGGTACCTACATGCAAGTTACCCATGCCATTTGCACGGATGCACCCCAATACCAGGACAGATATTTGCTTTTGCACCTGTCATTGATCAAAGTCTGGATGGTCCCTTTTGTCTTTGGGACTGAGAACACAATGTCCATTTTTTCCAAAAACAAGCTGAAACATGAACTCATCAGACCACAGCACACATTTCCACTGTCTTCTAGACCATCTGAAATTAACTCGGCGGCATCTCCGCATAGAACAGATGTACTGTATAGGTTTCTCCTTGCGTAACAGAGATTCAAGTGGCATTTCTTGATGTAGCGTCAGACTGTGTTAAGTGAAAATGGTTTTCCAAAGTATTCTTGAGCACATATGGCTTTATTTAACAGAGTAGCATGATGGTTTCTCATGCAATGCCATCTGAGGGCTCTAAGGTCCCACACATTCATCAGAGCTCGGCTTGCCCTATTGTAATGAGATTTCTCTGGATTCCCTGAATCTTTTCACAATATTATATGGTAGTTGGTGAAAGACATAAATTCTTTGCAATCTTGCATTGAGAAATTTGAATTGTTGGACAATTCTCTCATGATATTTGGTACAAAGTGGTGAGCCATGACCCATATTTGCTTGCAAAAACTGAGAAGCTCTTTTACACCCAACTTTTTTGTAGTGTGTTGCAGCCATCAAAATCAAAATTTGTTTATATTTATAAAATACAATTATGTTGTTCAGTGAAAACATTGGAAAACTTTAGGAAAGGTCTATGAGCCGGAACTTGAACTCATGTCACCCGAGCTGCCCACAAGGCTATCGGCACCGACGATAGGATATTGCTTTCTACTTGACCGCAATGTTTTATTCTCCATCATTCAATGCATTTTACCTGTACATATACGAACCTTTATGTTATGTCATCACAGATTAAAATCTATGAAAATCAAAATATTTCTTGCATTTAAGGGAGGAGAGACTGATGTGTACTAGAAGGAGTCCATTATGACACCACGGCCCATTTACACGAAGGACAATTATTCTAAATGTGAAAGAATAGCATGAATAGAGTCCCCATCACAACTATAACAATAACGGCAATGTTGTTGGAATCACTATTAGAAATGTTTTTTTTCTCCAGCTGATAAACAATAAAAACATTGACATCCATTCAGAATCCACCCGACTAAAGCAACCAGCGCAAGCATTTAAAGAGGCAGTGACAAAACTGCAGTGCGCGTTTATAATAAACAATGTTATTGTGCATTGGTTTGGACGTTAATTAAGTTATCATTTATAGTTATTGCTCTTGGTGTTGAACGGGCCTTAAAGGAGTGGTTCACTTTAAAATGAAAATTATCCCATGATTTACTCACCCTCAAGCCATCCTAGGTGTTTATGACTTTCTTCTTTCAGATGAATACAATCGGAGTTATATTAATAAACACCCTGACGCTTCCGAGCTTTATAATGGCAGTGAATTGCAACCATCAGTTTGAAGCTCAAAAAAGAGCATCCATCCGTCATAAACAAACTCCACGTGGCTCCGGGGGGTTGATTAAGGCCTTCCGAAGCAAAGCGATGAGTTTGTGTAAGAAAAATATTTAAAACTTTATAAAGTTAAATAAATTGCTTTCGGCCAAATGAACATAAGGATTCGACTTAAGTGTAAAGCACACTTTTTGTGCTTGATTTAGTACTTGTTTTAAAACAGATCGATATAATAACCTAAAGGGCATCCCCATGTGCAATGATACTAAATCTGTATCATGAAATTATGATTTGAAAGTTCAATAAGGGTGCTTGAGGAACCATGCACATTAATTGATGTGTAATCCTTTGACAGCAGTTGCAGAGAATTAAGCTTTTAGGCTTTACAGCCAACCAGAAGGAAATTAATGTAACAGTCCGTTTTGGGCATACAAGGACACATGATGACTTTTGGCAGAATGTGTCCTTTTGACATGATGGCAGAAATGACTACTGTAGTAATTAAATATTTTCTTGGTGATCACCTCTGTTTAGTTGTAGATCTTTTAACCGTTACGCGGACACAGAAGCCTGTCTAAAATCAGTTTCATGAGGTACCTGTACCTTCGTACACAAATGCTGCCTCTAAAGTCAATGCCTGATAAGGCAGCAGGCAAGTCACTGCCTAAGTTTTCAGACGCAGACGATGAGTTTTGTCAGAAAGGGCTAGTAAATACAATTTAAATGTACCAAAATATTTAGTTTTTATTGTACTAAGGAACATAATTATTAACATATCCTATTGAAACAGTATAAAACATCAAGATTACCACTAAGCTGCACTCTAAAAAATGCTGGGTTGTTTCAACCCAAATTTGGGTCAAATATGGACAAACCCAAATGTTGGGTTAAAAATGTAATTTAAAATTTTAACCCGACTTCAACTTTCACTTTCAACTGTAAATTTTTTATTACATTTTTAACCCAACATTTGGGTTTGTCCATATTTGACCCAAATTTGGGTTGAAACAACCCAGCATTTTTTAGAGTGAGGGAAAGACTTTTGTCATTGTTAAGACCGAGAGAGAAAGAGAGAGAGAGAGAGAGAGAGAGAGAGAGAGAGAGAGAGAGAGAGAGAGAGAGAGAGAGAGAGAGAGAAGGAACAAATCAAAAGTTAAAAAAATAAATTAACAACAGAAAAAAACTGATCGCAAGAGGCAAAACTGCTTATAAAGTCCTTAAATTTAAAAAAATTAAACAAAAACAACCTTGCCATTTTATGTAAATGTAATGATAGAGTAGAAGGTAGCTTTTGACTTTGTAAGTGGCAAAGGGGATGTCTGAAAGAGGCTACTGTAATATAATTCATAACACATCACATAACACAAGACAACTAATTGGTTAGCTAGCACATATTGTAATCTAAAAACATCCCATATTAGAAAGATTTACATCAGATTCAAGTTACCAATACTTTTATCCAAGATTTGCATTATAAGAGTCTCAATTTCAACCACCACATCAACTCAGAACAAATGGTATCAGTACAGTTTCTCGCTTTAATCCGTGTATTTGCTCTTTGTCGGGAAAAGAGGCCAAAGCAAGACCATCGTATCTGTATTTTCAATCTGTATTGTTCTCCTGTATAAGTCACCTCACTGCTCTTGCGGTTCCCCCTCATTCTGTTCCCAGTATTTTTTCTTGCGTTTTCTCTCCGCCATGACCAAGGCACCAAAGACAGTCACAATCACAGTAGCAGTGATGACTAACACCGTAACAGTCTCAGCCACACACAACTGGCTGTCCACCCATGCCAAAGAGGCTCCGGCAAGCTGCCAGGGCTCCCGACATGTTACGTTGTGATAGTCGTCCACAAGGAGGTGCCTCACACTAAGCAGCTTGCTGAAGACACGGTGCAGGTCGCAGTCACAGTTCCACGGGTTCCCAGCCAACTGCAGGTGCGTAGCAGCCGTGTGCAAGCTCAGCAATGTCTTGAAGTTCAGGTGTTCCAGATGATTCGCCTCCAAGCCCAACAGAGAAAGACTGTGTAATGGTGCTAGTGCATTTACCTCAATCCGAGAGATGTTGTTGTTCCCCAGGAGCAGAACTTCCAGTCCGGGCAGCATGGTGAGGGATCCGTCTCGCAGAACACCCAGGCGGTTCCCTTGGAGGTAAAGGTGGCGCAGGCGGGACAGGCCACGAAACGCGCCAGGTTCAACAGATTGGATACGATTGTGGCTGAGGTCCAGCTTCACAAGGTTCTCCAGATGTTCTAGGCCTGGAGGTTTCAACAGCACCAGTGCATTGTGGTCCAGCCGCAATTCACGCAGGGAAGACAGGCTCTCAGAGAAATTAGGAGGGATCTTAGTGAGGTTGTTACGACTCATGTCCAGCTTCTCCAGATAGGACAGAGAGAAAAAAGCCTGTGGGGAAACAGACATTTGGGTAAATGTATACGGTAGAGGTTGAACGACTGCAGATTTTTTAAAGTCAATATTTATGTGATTAAAGTCGAATTGACTAGTCGCTGATGACATCATCGATGCACAAATAAGCCTGAACCTCAAGCTGAGACTCGAACGCGGGTTGCTTTGTGCACAGCAATGGCATATGACACAGCGCTGCCCACAAGACTATTGCTCCTACATAACAGCTTATTTTTATCAGTTCTTTTGTCATTGGGTCGTTATATTTCTCACAGATTTCTGCTCTTTCTGAATCAGATACAGATAAAGTATAGCAATTTAGTAGTAATTTTGGGCTGTGTTTTAGTTAGGGTTAGGTTAGGGTTAGGTTTTAGTTAGGGTTAGGATTTTGGCTTCCAGTGATTATGAAAACATGATTCCTTCCTTTAAAGTGGTGTGCTGGTACCCATATAAATCAGCCGAATCAGCTAATGCCACGTGTAAAAGCGCATTGAGCTGCGAAAGAGGAGGCTTTCTGCCCGTGCGATCCAAAATGGAGAGAAACACGGACAAGAACAGGCTTTGGGCTTCCAAGGAACGTCCAAGTGATCTGAGGGCGCGGGCGCTTCGGTCTGGCAAGCGCCGGAAGTGATCTCTCGCGCGTGTACGTCACTCATTGTTTACACAGAAATTTCGGAAGTGTTACCTTTTACTGTGAAGATCTAAACGTACAGGAAATCGCAATGGAAGACGATTTCGATTTATCAACAGACAACATTGAATTTTTTCGCAACCGCGCAAGAGATCCCTTCCGACGCTTTCCGGCGCTTGCGCAGACCGAAGCGCCAGCGCCCTCAGATCACTTGGACGTGGCTGTGGTTACAAGAGGTAAAAATGATATAAAAACTGTTCGTTTTCTCACACAAACCGCTCGTTTCGTGTCTTAGGCCATCCATGTGTACTTACGAGTCATTAAATCATGTTTGATTTGGACTTCTCTGTGCATGCTCTTTGAGGTGGTGACCATAGACCTGCATTATATGACTGACAGACAAGAACGGTTTGACCTAAAAATATCAAAATTGAAACTACTGCGGAAACAAAGACACCTACATCTTGGATGCCCTTGAGGTAAGCTAAAACATACCAAAAATTAATTTCAAAGTGAACTATCCCTTTAAGGTTGTGCCTAGGGTGACTGGACGACTGACTGGACTATGTAGCCCTACTCGTCACTGCCCTGAAGCGCGAAAATCAGCCTTTTAAATTTCAACCGGCCGTTGGGCTCATTGTGCCGTCGTCTCATTCTTCATCGAGCATATTTACCTCACCTAAATAAGAAACGTAATTATTCAAACACAACCTACAACTTCCTTGTCTAATGTGACATTTATTTGTTCAGTCTAACTGAAGGGAGGACAGAATAACGTTAGCTGATAATTAATGCAGTTTGCAATCTTGTAAAGTTATAAATTACAGCCTATTACTAGTGTATGCTAACGTTAGCTTTTCGTTTTCAGATATCCTTTAATCCTTACCGTTAGGAAAAGTGTTGAACATTTGGTCAGGTATGACAAATATTTTAACTTTATGCCAAAAGTTATAAGACATAATGAAGCCAAAATTACAGTTAATTGACATTTCAGCACTCCTTGAACAGACAGCGGCTTATAAGCGCGTACCTAACGTTACTTGTTGCACAGTAATGTTTTTCTTTTCCTTTTTTGGTAACGCACAAAACGTCTTATTGTAAATAACACAATTTAATGATCTGTAGAACGTTTTTTCCACTAAATAATAGTTCATTTTATTGCCATGGCATCAATGGTTCCATGAAGAACCTTTCACTTCCACAAAGTATTTCTTAAAATGTTCTTCGCACAACAACAAAAAAAGGTTCTTTTAAGTTAGGTTAGGTCCCCCTTTAGGAACCTTTATTTTAAAGAGTGTAAATAACCTATGGAAAGGTTCCCTGAATGTTAAATGTTCTTCAAAGAATATCAATGGCAATAAAGACCTTTTATTTTTGAGTAGGCTTAGGCTATAGCCTATATGGATTTAATAAATGGTCCTAACTTACCTGCGTATGAAGAACCTGGATGCTGCTGTCCGAGAGCACTAGAATACGTAAAGACCAAAGGCCAGCGAAAGCTCGACTCCGGATCTCCGTAAGCTTGTTTCCTCCAAGGTCTAGGAGCCAGGTGCCGTGGGGAAGTCCATGTGGGATATCCTCAAAACCCCTGGCATGGCAATCCACCAGGTCTGAGTGTTCATAGCACTGGCAGAGGTGACTACACAGTCTTGAACTCCTCGACGGAGAAAGAAAGAGTAAAAGCATCGCGACAGAAGGCAACATGATGTGATGACAGATTCAAGAGATCTACATGGAGCGCTACAAAACGTGAAATGTTTGACCAGGACGTCGATTAACGGATCCTCAGCTTTTGGAAGAGGAGCGAGATCTCTGTGATAAACGCAGTTGCATTTGTTTCACTATTGGAATAGCAAAACAGACTTTTACAGATCAGCAGAATATTCGCAGTCTGCAGTGCAGCTGAAATGTCTGTCAGAAGCACTTAATCGCCTTAAAACCATATGCGACTCAATTTCTAAGCCCCCCTCCCCACACGAAACATAAATTACGTAGCCTAGGCTCAGGGCCGGATTGGGACTCATTTTCAGCCCTGGAATTTGCCTTAGACCGGCCCACTTTGAAACCTCAGTATATAAGTCTGCAATAGTGCAGTGTTCTGTACAGCCTTGTTATTCATTTTATTTAAAAAATATATAAATTTATATTCAGTGCAATAGCTGTATACAGGGTTTTAAAAATACAGAGGTCCGAAAAGTGATCTTGCTAGGGGGTTCGGGGGCATATGCCCACCCAGACAAGTGAAGTAGGCCTATACAAACAGTGAAATGTCCCAGTGCTGATATGGGGAAATATAAACACATTCGAGGTATACAAATATATATATTTATACAACAATGCCAATATATAATATAATAATATATAATATAATATATGTGCTTGTGTTGTTAAAATTGAGTTTATTTTTACACTAGCTGATCATCATTGGCAAAGAACATATGTATGTCTGTGTTAAATAGGAATCCATTGTAATAAAGTTATTCTCATTCTGGGCACAGTATGCAATAGGCTATTCCTCTACCTGCTCTCATTTCTCATCTCCATCTTCTCTCATTCTCTTTATCTTTAGGTTACCTAAATATCCCCTTCCCGAAGCTGAGTTTTGATTGATACAGTCTTCACAAACTGATTATTTCTTTCGGTCGTTTAAAACTTCTTTCGTAATTAAAACAGCTGTTTAGTTTAGCCACTTGCCTCTTATCTTGTGAAGCGTCGCGTTTGGATTCGCTCGCGGCCGCGGCTCGCGAACATAAATCCCGCTTACTTTGATCGGTCATCTCAAACATTTTGCCATTGCCGACGAGCGGTGTTTGAATACGCAAGCAGCTCAGATTATGAGGTCGGTTATCGTCGCGATATGCAAATCATTGCAGCACCAAATTAGAGTTAATATTAGTCAATTATTTCACAACGTTCATTATACACTCAGAAAAATATACACTCAATAAAGCATTCAACCCAGTGCCATGACAACACCAGCCCTCCTGGCCAATAAAACATACCGGCCCACCGGGAATTCTCCCGGTGCTCCCGATTAGCCAATCCGGGCCTGCCTAGGCTACTACTACTAGTAGAAGCAGCATACAAATAATGCGTAAAAACAGTTATAATGTTTTATTCCTTTCCTCCACTAAATAGCCTATACTATAGGCTACTGCTTCTTGTCAGCTTCTTTCTCAATTACTCCGGCTCCACACCAAGACAAGCAGCGCACAAGTGATGGGAAGACAGACTCACCTCCGCGAATCGGTAGTTTCAAAAGAACCGGTTAAAAACAATCAGGGATTCTTATACGTTTTATAATGACCTGCTAATTGTATTATGTATGTTACTGTTGGCTATAGGTAGGCTAGCCTACACATTGCTGTTCACTGCAAATGGATCTGCGATGATTTTTTTGTGCCAGTTCAGTTGGCTGCAGCCATTATTCAGCAAAAAAGTAGACTAATTTCGAAATGCATTAAACTGTGCTAAAATTCATTAACATTAGTGTGCTTAAACTTTTGTTTGTTTTAATACATTATTTTAATGTATTAAAATTTGATGTAGGCTATTTAAATATACGTGTTCATTTACACAATGAATGTGGTAATAAATCATGTAAACATTTCCAGAGCGATATTTGTAACAATCAATCTATTTCAAACGATTTAAGAGTCGACGAAAAGATTCGACTCAAAAGAACAATTTGCGCACTCTGAAGAGCAAGGGCAGCTGTCACATTTGGTCATAATCCAATACGTTTTAAATCTCGGATATCCTTGTAGGCATAACGCAGCCAACGTTGCATTTTCTTTTATAAAATAACTTTATATAAAATTCTTAGTGTCCAATGTGATTCAATACGCACAATAATCTCAGCCAAATTCCTGATGTTTAAATTTAGAAATATCAATGCCAGACGAGAGATTATATAACACAGAATTACTGCTGTAAATCCCCTGAATTTAGTCTTAAATGGATTTTTAAAGACCCAAGCGGATTACGCAGAGGTTTCAGTTTTAACCCATTTTGAACGGATCCGTCTTATATGCCGATTTAAAGAGACAGTATACCCGAAATAAAGTCATTATTTATTCACCATTATATACCCATAGCCTACTATACTTTTCTTTTTTCCGTGGTACACAAAAAGTTATGCATGAATGAAGGGCTCCCTCAGTCACCATTCATTTTGGTTATACGACAAAAAATAACATCAATGATTGTTGACTTACAAACAGTCCCTAATATTATGTCTGGCGTTTCTTTTTGTGTTTCAAGTACAAAACTGTTACATTTGGGTGAACGTGCCAAACCCACGGCTCAGCGGTCCAACACCCCAACACCATGTGCGATGTGGGTCAGGGGCAGAAATATGAGATCATGTGGGATTAAATAATGCATATGTTTGTACATGAATAATGGAAAAACCCTCAACATCAATGATTCAGTCCAGTCAATGGCATATTTTGTATGTAAATATTCATTTAAACTCATTGGGATTCACTGAAAATGAGTCACCAACTTATTCTGTCCCCATTATGTTACCACAGAATATGGGGTTACTATTGAAGATGCAGTGGAAGACAACCAGTTGACTCAGACCATTATTATAGCTTATTAAATAAAAGAGGGATAAAAACAAGACAAATCTCACTTTTCTCTTTTTTTATTTCTTCATAACTATTTAAAATAAAAAATAAAATACTGCGAAAGAAACCTATAGGCGAACAGCATCCTTGTCAACACAGCGATATAAACTGGTATGCAACCCGGATACACGTCACAGCTTGGCGCCACTGCTTGAGCCTCAATCAGGCTACGAGGTTCACGAGGCTGGGATGGGGAGGATTTCGGCTTCGAGCCAGTGCCACCCATACCCCCCGTCCCAGTCTCTTAACATGGCAAGATATCACTTTAACATTTCTTTTTCCCAAACAGGTGATTACAAATATTCCCGTTCAGAAAGAGATCAGTTCTGTCGCGAGAGATGAGCATGATATGAGCCGCCTTACGCCGACACATATCTGAAGAAAATTGACCGTCGCTGGAATAACGAAGGAATGCAAGAAGTCAAAGAGAGGTGTGAGTCTCTCGTTGGTCACTGCATGTACCCTTCCAGTTTGGATGTGTTTGGAAATAATAATACAAACAAACATTGCATCATAGAAAATGGTCCCACTATGGAAGAGGTATTCAAAATGGCAAGTACAGGACCAATATGGAAGAAAATGACAAAATAATAATATACCGCCAAGTAGTCTTGGCTCTCCATTTCTCTCTTGGTCAACTGCACCTGGAGCTGAAGAGAGACAACAAGACCACGTTCTACAAGTAAACTGAAAGGATGCTTACAGCACTCAAGAGTGTTACTCCTTCGTCTATCACTTAAAAAGTGACAAAAGTAAACAAAAAAGAAAAGGGAGTTTTATATAAAAATAAGATGTTGGGTAGATGCTAAGTGCAATTCAATTTCCCATGCTGTGCCTTCAGCCCTCAATAATTCTAAACCTACAAAATAAACCCTGTATTTGCTGCTAAAGAAATCATACAATAGTTATCCAGTCTACCTTAGGAAAATTGTTTTTGTTCCACCCTCACACCCTTTCTACCACTAAAAAATGTGGCACAAAGTAAGATCATGGATTTGAACAGAAAATGTGATATACTTTTTTTTTTGGTGGCTAACCAAATGAGATGAAATAACCACATGGGTTATTTAATGACAGGAGGAAAAAAACTGGAGATCCAGCATGGTAGGTTTAGTGAGTTAATGATGTTGGAAATGATGTATTCTATATGAAATGATATTCTAAGACAGCACTCTATTTTTGCCCTCTCTTTTGTCAGTGGAAGCATTTTTTCTCTTCAGATGTGTAGGACCGTCATCCCTGCTCAAAACGCTGAGTATCAGCTATCTCAACCTTTGTCTGGCGATTGGTTTAAAAAAAAAAAAAAAACAACATCAGAAATTATTAATTTAAAACAAACAACACTTCCTTTGTCAGCATATTGTTTCCTCTCTCTGAGCCTGGGCTCATGATGATAAAGCAGAGTCCTTCTGTGTTTGTTGAGCTTGTTGTGAATGCGGCACTGATTTTTGGCTCTCCACATCCCGAAAATGTTTCTCAACCTGTGGACAGAATACAAAGGTTTGAAAAGTAAAACACCTCTGAATAATATAATTGTTATTTATATCAACGGTAATTTTTTTTTTTTTTTTTTTATTTCCATTCAATATGAGTTAATGCTTATAACTTGTATGTCTGTAAATTTCTGAGGAAAATGCTTCTATGAAATCTAACAGCTGACTTGTTCAACCTTAAAGGGTTATTAGTTCACCAAAATATTAATGTTCTGTCATTAAATACTTACTCTCATGTCGCTCCAAACCCGTAAGTCTTTCGTTCATCTTCAGAACACAAATGAAGATTTTTTTTTATGAATTCTGAGAGCTTTCTGTCCCTCTATAGACAGCAACACAACTGACACTTTGACGCATCAAAGTTCATAAAGAGATCGTAAAACCAATCCATATTGAGTGGTTTTAGGGGTGTGCACGAATATTCGATCTGTAATTATTATTCGAAAAATAAAATACAATTCGAATTTTACTACGTTGCTTTGCTGGCCGTTAATGCAGTGAATCACTAGCTGCGTTTACATGGACACTTATAATCGGATTGACGGCTCAATCGGACTAAAAACCCTTCATGTAAACACCTTAATCGATCCGATTGAGCTCGATCCGATTGAAATTTCGATCGGATTGAAAGGGGTGGTTTACTCCTTTTGTAATCCGATTGAGAGAACATGTAAACACTTGATCGGATTGAAAACCGAAACTAAAAGGACTGCGCATGTGCAATGACGCTGAAATAGCGTATTGACGTATGACGCACGGAACGAGCTGTTCTTCCTGTTGAATAAAGCGAATATAAATGAGTTTTCCGTTATTAAAAAATTCTCGTTTCACTC